CTGCTCCATGAGATCACACTTCCACAGAATTTCGTTAAGTATCCTGCAATAGATTTCCTGTCATCAACTCGATTAGCAAAATCAGCATCAACAAATGCTTGTAGATGTTGATCCAGTTCCTGGTCAATCCATTCTTTTCCACCGAGACAAATACCCCATTCAGCAGTCTCTCGAAGATACCGTAGTCCTCGCTTAGCTGCTCGCCAATGAAGTATTCCTGGGTTCTCGAGAAATTGACTGCATTCTCTGACCAAATACGCTAAGTCAGGACGTGAGCCCATCATTAGGTACATCAGACTTCCTACTACTGATCGATACGGCTTAGATTTCATCAGAGTTCTTTCATCTGCATCTGCAGCACACATGCTCTTTGTCAACTTCAAGTCTGGGGTACATGGCATCTTACACCCATTGCAGTGTTCCATTCCAAATCTCTCCAACACTGTCATAGCGTACTTGTGCTGATTAATTAAAATCTTTCGTTCACTGCGATTGCGTGTAACTTCCCAGCCCAGGATATAGTGCAATTCTCCCAGGTCCTTCATCTCAAATCGCTTACGAAACATTTCTTTCATCTCGTTGATAAGTTTTATGTTAGGAGCCAATAGGATCAGATCATCCACGTACAACGGAATGAATACTAGTTGCCCATCAATGACCTTGACAGCAACACATGTCTCCGACTTCAGCAACGTAAAGCCTTGCTCCTCCAGAACGGATTTCAGTAATTGAAACCACACACGTGGTGCTTGCTTCAAGCCATACAAGCTTTTTAGCAAGCAACACACCCAGTTCTCTTTACCAGGCACCTTAAATCCCTCTGGTTGCTCCATAAATACCTTCATATCGATCTTGCCATTCAGAAAGGCAGTTGTAACGTCCATTTGATGAACCTCATAGTCCCACACAGCTGCAAGGGTTAACAGAACCCGCAGTGTCTCCAATCGCACCACCGGTGAGTACACTTCAAGATAGTCGACTCCATAGACTTGCATGAAGCCTTTGATCACTAATCTCGCCTTGAATCTATCAATCTCGCCGTTTGCAAGGTATTTTACGCGGAACACCCACCGATTTCGCAACACCTTCATGTTGCTGCCTCGTGGAACCAACTCCCACGTACAGTTTTTCATTATAGCATCATACTCTTTCTGAGCCGCACTTTTCCACTGCATGGAAAACTCACCCTGCATTGCCTCTTCAAACGTTTCAGGCTCTTGTATGGCACTCATGGTGAGACAACAATAGTCTTGCCACCATGCACAAACTTGTTCCTTTGCCATCTCTCTCTGCATTTCTTCTCGAGCTCTTTTCCATGTTGGAGACTCATTTTCACAGTCTTCATTGGTATGCAGATATGCCACACAGATGGAATCACCATACCATGGAGGGCGGCTTGCTCACACGACCACTCCGTGTTACTGGGTAGTCCTTTGTGTGAACACCTTCTGGAGCCACATACTCTCGCAACGCTCTGCATCTAGAGGTTGTTATACTCTCTGTGCTAGAGTCGTCACTTGGTCGCAGCATCTCCGAGTTCGCGGTCTCGATTGCACGATTCTCCAGAGAAGAAGGCCTCTCCATGGTCGGCAAGCCACTACGTGCCGTTTCTTGCCCTGACTCGGCAGTTTGAGACTCAGTAACAGCCTTGCGTCGGCCACGCTGGCGTTTTCGCTTGCTTTTGTGCTTGCCTCGGCAAGTTGAGTCAATAGCACCGTCACTTCGGACGTGTGCAGGCTGTTGCTCAGTGCCGCGCACTGCAACATGCTCAGTGCCTCGCATTGAAGGCTCATCGTTGAACCATACTCGCTTCGTTCGAGCTTCATTGCCCCCTGCACGCACAGTGCTTCGTTTTCTCTTTCCTGTGTGTCCTCCAACAGCCCCACCAGTCCTGGTACTTCCTTCAATTGCCCCACCTGCCAGATTCTGGTTGGAGTTGTTGGTTGTAGGAGCATCATCATGCATCTTCTCATACATCTCATCCAGCATCGCTGGTATGCTCTCCATTGTAGTATTTTCAACCTCGAGGTATTGTCGAGTGGACACACTACTGGACATTGGGGTAGACGATTCCGATAGGATTCTGCCTGCCTTATTCTCAAAGAACACAACCGTTTGACTGTAGAAAGCTTTTCGGGTCTTGCTGTCCAGCAGACGATACCCTCGCTTTTCACGACTGTATCCAACAAAAATGGCTTCACGCGCTTTGGGGTCCATCTTGCGCCGCTCAACTTTATCTACATACGCCAACACGGCACATCCAAATGTACGCATTCGCAAATATTGTGCTTCCTCTCGATACCATATCGCGTGAGGTATTTC